ACACGGAGTGGAGCCACAAAGGCGGTTGGCTATCAAAACTGACAACCCCACGTCAGCTCCTGCTTTTTATTCCACTGGGACATTCTGGCCACAGCAAAGGTGAACAAAAACTTGAAGAGTTGAGTATCTAGAGGGAAATAAGTGAAAATATGATTTCCAAATAATGTTCAGTGGAATTAAAGCAATCTACCCCTGTAGACTAAATAATCGTTTCGGTTCGAAATTCCAAGGTATATCAACTGAAGAAGGCTGGAGCGTACAACGACCGAAACGTCATGAATATGGCAATAAATATTAAGACAACTGTCCGCTCGATGTAAATAGTGTAAATAATTACAATACCTCACCTCAGAAATAGAAACGTAACCTGAAGAAGGCTGGAGCGTACAATAGCCGAAACTTCGTTAATATGGCAATAATGATGTAAATAGTGCAAATATTTATACTACTCCATCAGAGAAGCATAGACAGCTTAGAGAGTCGCGTCTGATGCCAGGGTGTGGGAAGCTTGTTCCGGAAATAGCTGTTTGTGGCCCACAATTTTTTATAGTAGCAGAACCTTAAAAGTCAGTGGTCCATTTTCTTTCAGTTTCACAACGCCATAGGGACCTAACAAGTATGATCTGGCTTCTTAATATGATCCCACTATAAGATTGGAGTATCCCACAAAGTAATATGCTTAGATACGTTTGACGGCTCTGTCAAGTTGGGTGTAGATCTGGTCTTTGACTTCAGAATGTCGTTTGGAATATCGGTGCACAGATGCACACAAGGTCTACACGGCTTTCAAATGAAGAGAAGCAGAGGTTTAGAACTATTTACAAGCAGCCGGCCAGAGTTTCAATCTTGCGAAGCATTGTTTTTGTAGATAACGAATCCAACTCCCTGTTCACCGCATTAATCGGCTTCCCATCCCTGCGAGATTTAGGTGTTTCCATCTTTAAATATCACTATTCGGAAGTCGCGTTTCTTGTACAGATACCAATTTCATTTTATTATTGATTTTTAATTTCCGAATGAGAAATACTGAAGATATTAAAGATTCACAAATGTTGACACTATAATAATAATAATAATAATAATAATAATAATAATAATAATAGTTATACACGTTTGGAAAAACCTTAGGTATTTTTTCTTGTAATTGAACAAACCAATGCCCAAGGAAAAATAAGGAATGAAAAAAGAAAGAACTAAGACCATGAAAATGAGGCGAAAACAATCGTCCAGAATCCAAGCTCAGAGTCCAAAGATAAAAAAAAACCCCTCCAAAACGAGTAAAGCAAAAAGAACTATGTAAAGTGCTCAAAGTAGAGCAATCTTAAACATGAACCTAAAGAGCCAGGTAAACCTATTTAGGTTTTCACCTATACAGATCGTCAGGGTCAATATATATATATAATATATATATATATATATATATATATATATATATATATATATATATATATATTCTTCTTCGCGTGTGCTGATGGCATAGATGTGAGAGTCTCCGATTGATCGGTCGGTTTTGGATACTGGCTTGAAGCCATCGCATACCTATACAATTTGATGACTATATATATATATATATATATATATATATATATATATATATATATATATATATATATTTCCACCCCAAAATGTATCACACAATTGCGAAAAGGCTGTTTTTGTAGTACGATATTTTTTTCGATAGATGGCATGTGCAGCAAACTTCCTGGAGACTTTGCCCAACCTTGCACATGAAGTAGTTCGCCTTACTAATAAATATCTGGGAGCTAAATGCCACCATATCTCTCCATCCATGATTTCTCTTATTCATTCATATCTGCTCAATGTGTATCCAAATGTAAACAAATGACGTCATATATTATAAAATGGAAAATTGTGTTTAAAAATAGTAAAATCGACCTTGCTAAACGAACGCTCCTCAGTGGCCCACTCGGTTAAGGCACGTCAGGCTATACGACGGTTCCGTATTGGATATAGGTTCGATTCCTGTCGGAGGACGCATATTTTCTATGAAAATTTCTTGGACATTCAGGTCGATAAATGTTGTTAATACTGTTTATTATAAACAGAGCATTTACTTAAATATTTGTATCTATAAAAAGAATATATAAACATAAAAAAATGTCTTAAAATTAATTGTCGGACTTTGTCCATTTCATATTATATCTATATATGTCTGTGTGTTTGTTTGTTTGAGAGAGTGTTTGTATATAAATGTATGAATATGTGTGTGTGTATCGAGATGAATATATAAATATTGGAGATATTTACAAAAATATCTATACTTACAGAATCATTGTTCCAATGAGGTTATCAGGTGTCGAACAAGACATTGTTAATTTAAGGTCTACTCAAAATTTGGAGCTATTAAACATATATCAAAATCCCGAATGTAGTACGGACTTCCTGCTCTGTCATTTCTGAGCAGTACCCTTTGTGTTCAGATAAGTAGCATTCGTTTGATGCGAAATAATTTTTTCTTGCTTACGTTCCATGAACTTTCGTGTATTTCGTCGCATTTCGAAAAAGTTTCGAGATAATTTGATGAAGAGAACAGCGTTCTGGATGAAAGAAAATCGATGCCAGCCATGTTTTAATTGAATGCTTTGCGACTTTGCAATGTTCGGTCTTTTCTGTGTCTACACATTGAACTTTTCAAAATGCTGGTAGGCGTAACATTTGTCATGAAATCGATTTCGCTTGGAAAGGCAAGATATGGAACGAAAAGCTGTTTAGCATTTCTGCCCGGGATCACACACACACACAACACACACACGCGCGCGCAGACACAACACAAAACACACGCACACGCACACGCACACGCACACACAGACACACACATTCAAAATTTACACACAAACGCATGCACGAGCACACATAAATAAACCTAAACTATTTTCCCCTCTCAGACAACATCCTGGTTGAAGATAAATGAATAAATAAGAAAATTAGAGAAGATAAAAAAAAAATACTTATGAAATATTCTATTAATAAATATCACCTGCTTTTGTTTAAAGTAACACGGGAAATTATGAACCTTCTTTTGGCAAAATAAATGTTGTGCAGACCCGTTTCGTGGACAATGGAAAAAGAGGATAAAGAACAAAAAGAAGATGAAGAAGAAGTAAAAGAAGAAGAAGAAGAAGAAGAAGATGAATGAGTAGTAGAAGAATAAGACGAAGAAGAAGAGGATGAAGAACAAGAAGATGAAGAAGGTGAAGAAGAAGGTGAAGAAGAAGATGAAGAAAAAGTAAAAGAAGAACAAGAAGATGAAGAACGAGTAGAAAAAAAGGGGATGAATGAGATGAAGATGAAGATGAAGAAGAAGAGGATGAAGAAGAAGATGAAGAAGAGGAGGAAGTAGAACATGAAGAAGGTGAAGAAGAAGATGAAGAAGAAGAAAAAGAAAAAGAAGAAGAAGAAGAAGAAGAAGAAGAAGAAGGAGATGAAGCAGAAGAGGATGAAGAATAAAGTGAAGAAAAAGGTGAAGAAAAATATGCAGAATGAGAAGAAGGAGAAGATGAAGAAGTTGAAGAAAAAGGTGAAGAAGAGGATGAAAAAGAAGAAGAAGAAGAAGATGAAGAAGAAGAAGAAGATGAAGATGAAGAAGAAGAAGAAGAAGAAGATGAAGAACTAAGAATAATAACAAAGAATAAGAAAAAGATAAGTAGAAGAAAATGAAGAAGAAATGAAGAAGAAGGTAAAGAAGTAGTAGTAGTAGTAGAGGATTATGAAGAAGAAGAAGAAGAAGAAGAAGAAGAAAGTGAAGAAGATGAAGAAAAGAAAGTGAAGAAGATGAAGATGAAGAAGAAAAGAAAGAAGAAGAAGCAGAGGAGGAGGCTGAGAAGGAAAAGAAGATAAAGATGTGAAAAAAGAAAAAAAAGAACCGAAGGAACATAAGTAGAAGTGAAAGAAAAGTATGTATTGGAATAAGACTGATGATGATGCTGATGATTTTGGTGATGGGGGGCGATGGTGGCGATCATAATGATGATGGTGGTGGTAGTGATGATTATGATGATCTAAAAGAAAATCAAAAGAATGAGAAGAAAAAAGATTTTATAATAATAATAATAATAATAATACGAAGAGAAGAAGAAGAAGAAGAAGAAGAAGAAGAAGAAGAAGAAGAAGACCTGGTTACAACGATCCAGAGATAATGTGAAAAAGAACATCATAGAGGGTGGGGGGAACTGATAATGATGAAAAAAAAAAGACGACGCAAAAGCCGACAAAACCGAAAAAACGAAAAATCGACAAAGAATTGGAATTGGCTAGAAAAATCAGAACAAAGTAAGGAACAAATGATGAGAAAGAAAAGAAAATAATGAGACGAATAAAAAGTTAAAAAAATAAAACGAATCACTTGGGGAAAAAGAAGGTGCACGCAAAGGATAGAAAGAAACCTAGAAAGAAAAAAAAAATGAAAAATGTACTTGAAGTGGATTTAGGATATTTCAAAATACGACACTACCAAAGAAGAAATTAAATATTACGTTCGTTCTTATCATAACTGACAAATCAAAGAGGGAAAGATGTAAGAGAGAAGATTACACAAACATCGGCTTTATTCTTTTCGTGACAATTCAATTCACCAGATAAGGAATTGCTCCGTGCCCGACGTGACAGTCTATTCTATACAGAGTTACCTTTTTAGTTGTGCCGTGACAAGTAGAAGCAGAACCGCACACACATAAACATATATTGAAGGAGATAAGAAGAGAGAAAGAAAGAATCATTGGTTCGAAGTCACAAAGATCCTAAAGTAGATACGCTCCTTTCACCAAAACAAAATATTTAAAAACATCAAAATATTTGCTCACATTTTGAAACAGACCTCATACTTTCTCAAGACACGTATGCGAGAAAACTAGCCACATCCATCAGCTTTCGTTGCAGTCATCGGAGCGTGACACTGTCCCAAACTTTTCAGCGAAACAGGAAGATGCTATGTGATATTTCACAGATTTCAATACGTCCGAGATGATTTCGTCCAAAGACTG